TAATAACTTTATTTATTACTTATTTAAGTTCATTTAATAAACTTTATTAAACTTGATTTATTTCATAAGTTTATTTATTACTTATTTATTATTTACAGTTACTATTCCAAACAAACAAAGCTCTAATTTGGCATTAATCTGATTTTTCCACTGGAAGAATGAGGTGTTGTTCTTAGGATATTTGATTTTGGGACATTAGGCCTTTGTGGATGCATTAATAATAACAACTGTTTGCATCCATCTCTAAAATCTGCACACAGACGGCTTCAAGTCTTTTTTCTTTCAGGTTCCATAATTACAAAACGTATAAAAAAATCTAAAAAGATCCTGTGCAAGTGAGAAATTAACCTGAGAGGAGAAAACTCTCTAATTATTAATAGTATCCTGATCTGTTTTAAGAGATTTGAATCTGGACTTGATGCTTCCCCAAACTGAACTAGATATTTACATTTTATTTGATGTTATCTTTGCTTTGCATGCTCTGCTAATTTAGCATCCTATGACTCTTTTTTAAAATCGTTCATGAATTTGAAAACTTCTACATATATCCTCGTTTCATAATGGTCACATGACCAACCCCCTCAGGATGTGTGTCCCCGGGATGAGAAACAGAAATGAGGATGGAGCTTTTTTTTTATTGTGGGGAAAATCCTAAACACTGAAGTGTTATCAACATATGGGTGTGTTTGAGACCCAACTAATAATAATAAAAACCTTTTTGACCTGGAGTTGAGACAGATAGACAGATGATGTAATACTTACCGTAGTTTGTTGAATATGCACAGTAAGGCTGGTCCAATTCAGCATTTTTTTGTCAAAAATGTTCTTTTTTAAAGTTAAACCTCAATGCTAATAAAGTCAGGGGACTGTGTAAAAACGTATAAAACATAACAACTGCACAGGTTGAAACTGAACTGAACTGAACTCAGATACCATTTAAACCTGTCTGACTTTCAGAAAACTATTGTGAGTTTTCGCTTTAAAGGCAGAGGTTATTATTTCGCTTTAAAGGAAATAGTTATTATTCTGTATTTATTCAGAAATCCACACGGTATGCCGAGGTCACTTTTCACATTCTTTCGGATATTCAAAGAACAGAAACGCCTTACTCTACACAGACATTGTGATTCACAAGTAATAGAAATGATGAAGAGAAATGGGCAGAGAAAACATTAACATTTAAAATTAAATAAGTCATATTGAAAAAAATTAAGAAATTTCATAGAGAGACAAACAAAGCTATGCTAACAACAGATTTACAGATGTGGGAATAGTACTTGTTGTCCAACAGATATTTAAAGGTTTCAGTCTTTATCCACACTAAGAATAGAAATCCAATTTAATAACTTCAGAAACTGTAGATTTACCCACGTGATCTACACGTGTTACATCCCTGTGGTTTAGAGTCTGAGATAAGAGCATTAAACATCAGTCCAAACAGGTTATGAATGGCTGTATGTTGATGCAAACCTTTGCTCGCCCTCATTATTCTGCTTTTGTGGGATATAGAAGGTCAGAGGGGATCATCTGAGGAAAATAGCCCAAAGAAAGATGACCTGGAGAGGTACACTTAAAATGGAGGAAATGGTGATTACTGACACGCGTCTTGAGCTGTTTACTGCTTTGTTTTTTTGTTTTGCTTTTGTTTTACAGGTTTTGTTGCTCTGAATAGTTTGTAAAATGAACATCATGAAGTGAATAATGCAGTAGCTGACACCTGTAAACATTTAGAGCAGGGGTGTCAAACTCTGGCCCCCGGTATTCTACTGTACAGAGCATTAAGGGCTCGCACTACAACTCCCATAATGCCCTGCTGCTGTTCAGGACCCAAAACTCCTCTGTGACAGTAGGAAACACTACAGCTGTCACTGAGCTAATGACCAAAAATCACCCAAAGAAACAAACAGGAGAAGGATGGACAAGAGGATTTAGTTTAGGAAGGAAGGAAGGAAAGAAGGAAGGAAGGAAGGAAGGATGGAAGAATGGATGGAAAGATGGAAGCTTTCTGGACAAGAGAATTTCATTTAGGAAGGATGGAAGGAAGAAAGGAAGGATGGAAGGAAGGAAGGATGGAAGGAAGGAAGGA